ACAATGACATAGATTCATCCAATATCTGTAAATAATCAATTTCACTCTTGAGTTCAAGATTAAACACTATTTTAATTTGAGGTGTACTGTCAGTAGTACTGTCACTGGGGTTGTGGGCAAGGCAGGACTGGATCATTCAAACACACAATGACACCTGCCAACTTATTCATCTCTTCATCCCAGATATTTATGTTTAATCAGATTTCTCTTTTAGAGAGTTCCCACAGCTAATAATGTTTATTTAGGTCTGTCAACATTCCAGTCAAAGAGTTCACATAGATAATAAGGTTTATTTGTAATTAAGGATGTCAACTAGTAATCTATTTCAGAGAGTTCACATAGTTACTATTCTATACTAACCCGTTCACTGTATCTCAGGTCACTGGGGTCCTCCTCGGCGTCTGTTAGGAAATGATGAACAATCTGTATTAGTTGTAGAGCATTCATAGTGTGGGAGGCCATAGCTTGGGCTGCAGAATAAAACATTGATTTTTCAATAAATAGCAGGACATGAATAATTATGTAAAAACTCAACACAAAATACTATGGACCTAGCAGGAGTTTATATTTGCCAGTCATGTCCAACTGACAAAACTTTCTGGCTTTTTTTCTTAAAATCACTCCTAAATGTTTTCACTTATAATGAGTCTTTTTTCATTGAATTATATATACTCTCAATGAAAATTTGAAAAAGTGTAAAAATTTATCAACAGAACAGAGACAGATATAATACTATGGGACAAAAACCATCTAAAATGTCTTCGGAAACCTGATCAAGATGAATACAGGAACGAAATGTAAAGTGACTCTACCTGAATCATTGATATCAGAAGCACAGGAATGAAGCATCATCTCCAACAGACGACGTTTTAATTCATCTTTAGGTCGAACTAACACATGACTACAGTTTATAATATCTAGTGATGCAAAAACTTGACCTCTCTCCTACAAATAGATACCAAAATTAAACTAAAATCTTTTATGTTCTACGTTTCTGCTTTTGATTGGGTTCCATTAGAACCAATTACAACTAAAAATAATAATACACAACCTTACTGATAAACAAAGTTTCCACAATTTACATTGTCATTATTAGCTTATATGGTGTACACAATGGATCACAATATTTGTACAATTTACATTGTCATAACCAAGTGAAGTTTTTGAGAAGCGGGCACTATCTGAAGATGATTTTTCAATCTTACATAAAAATCACCAAAGATACAGACCTGAGGTTGGGGCAAGTTTAATCAAATTCTTTCAAAACACCTACCTTCCAAGCATTAGGATCAGAGTTATCTACCCCTTTCCACATCAAAGTCAATAAAACAATTAAAAGATTTTGACAGAGTTCTTCTGACTGTTCAATTGTATCTTTAATATAAATTCTCTGTAAGCCCAGATTATCCAATGCACGTTGAACATTTTCAGACTGGATCATTGAGTCACGTCTGGATGGAGCAGCAGCTAAATTTAAATCTGAATTACTGTCACTTGAGTAGATTGAAAAACTGCTTCGACTTTGACTTAAAGAATTCTGTCGGTCCCGTCTCTGACCTATTGCACTTAAATCCTCAATACTTGCACTCGAACTTCGACTCATGGTGGATCGATCATCTTCAGAACAATTTAGATCTTCAAATTGCTGAGCTGCCAAAAACATTGGAGTACCAGGAGATTTTGATGGTAGATCTTCCAAATCAAAATTTACTTCTTGTACATCTAGATCTATAGGCCGATTTGAATTGTTACTATTTATAGCCACTGGTGTAGAAGTACACTGTATACTGTTGATATCGTTCTGTTGGCAATGTTTGTTGATATCTGATTTCATCCCCAATAAATCT